TACGTGCTTTGGATGGTGGTTAATGAAATTGTTCCAAAACGCGACATTAATTTCTTGACGACCTAATATATCTATCACTTGATATCTGTTCTTTTTACGTTTCCACATTTCTTGATCAATCAGCACCAAACTTGACTCAGTGATATAGGATTACACGAGGAAGGCATTGAGAGGGGGGGGGGGTTAAACCCCCATATTTTTTCATATTGACAGAATTCTTGAAAACAGTACGTCTTTCTTTTCAGTATTGGTACCTTATGGATTTTAATTGCACTTTTAATATTTATTATGTTAAGAAGAAAAAATAGAAGAACAATTTCTTATCCTCTGTTACAAACAAGTTTTTGTTTAACCTGTCCAACGGACGGGTAGTCCAGCTAGTAAGTTAATAAAAAATGGCCAGTTCCTTGTATAGGCAGTGCAACTTCTCAGTAAATATAAAAATTCTGGTTTAAGTATTTACATATTTGGAACAAGTGTAATTAAATTAATAAATACCCTTCCATTACAAACACTCATATGTCATAGAAAATAACAATAACTCTACCACGAGTTGGTCCTGCGGTAGAACACTGGATTTTGGAGTTCGCCAGCTTGGTTTGAATCCATGCGATTTCACATCATATTCAATAGCTTTAAGTTGTGTGTGCGTAATATGATTTATAGTAGATCCCTTGACGTGGATGGTGGGTGGTAGGGGCTCAGAGCTTGCTGCCTATCGCTGGTCAGTAGTTCAAAAATATGGTTGATTTGCTGGTTGTTGTTATGCGCAAAGCTACACAGTAGCATCGTCAGTCTACAAATTTACCGCTAAACCACTGGGAGGCTCGAAGCAAGGGACGGCAGCACATAGCTTTAATAATTTTGGCATAGATACAAATTTCTACAAGATATAAAATAAGATTCTTTAAATTATGTTTTGATGTTTTCGTTTCTTGAATTGTCGTTTTGAATTTGTGATATATCCGCCCACTCTACACAATTCCTTTCCATGTTCTCTCCATCATTTTCAATAGAAATAACTTATTTGAAGCATAATAATAATCCTCAGAGTCCAAAATAGAGGACTCAGAATTGCTACTGGCTCAAACTGCCACGTCCAATAAATGAAGCATACTACAAGGGCTAACGGAGCATTCAGGAAAGCAAGGACCAAAATTAATTTTATTAAGAGTTTTCTGATTCTGAATGAATGTATAAATGAACCGATAAATTGTGGACAACTTTCCATCGCTAAACACTCTCAAATGTTCATTAAAGTAAATTATTTGGTATTTCTTTTCAATTTTTTAACCGTGAAACAAAATGGACAATAAAACTATATTTGCAATATGTTAAGGCATAGAAAAGGGGGGAAGTAAGCTCGAAACCCTGTTATTAATATTAACTTCCGACCAAAGCATGCCAGTTGGCAGTCGATTTGGAGTGATCAACGTGAGAAGCGGCGTCATATTAGACATGTCTTTTCTAAGGATTTACCCCTGATGTTGGACAGTGTCATAGGCAATGGTGACACTATCCGGATTAACCGTGTTTTTAGCTTTTTTACGGGCCATTGGCCTTTATCATTATACTTAAGCTGTGATCTAATTTATGGCATTGTTGCTTATTTCCATTTTTGTTGCCCCCAGTGGCACAGCGGAATGTCTGCGGACTTACAACGCTGGAATCCGGGTTTTGATACCCGTGGTGGGCAGAGCACAGGAACCCATTGTGTAGCTTTGTGCATAAAAACAAACAAATAATCCTTCCCAAGTACTGCGACAAAGGGGTGTCTACGTCTGTAAAACAACAACAACAAAATAATCATAATTAAAAATTTGATTCGTTTCCTTATTCATATGATGTAACAATACTTAGAAAATAATCGACTATATTCCTGGAGCATTTACATGAGCTTTGCTTTAATTTTTTCTCAAGAAAGATTAATAAATGCATTATTGTTATTTCAAAGCTGGAATGTGGTACAGAGGGTTTGTGGTTCGCATCCCGTTGTTGCAAAAACAAAATGGATTTCAGCACTTGGTGCTAAGGGTGCGTTATAAGAGTATAGCAGCCAAATCTTACTATTCGATTAAAGTAGCCCAAGAGTTGGCAGTAGGTGTTGTTGATTAGATGTCTTCCCTTTAGTTCAAATCTAGGGAAGCTTAGCTCAGATAGCCCTTGTGTGGCTTTGCGCGAATATCTGAAACAAGAAGAAGAAATAATCCAAATAAATCACAATAAATTAATAGCAGCATTTTCGAACTGCATTAGTCCCCGGCTGAGCAGCTAAGCTGTTGATAAGTGGTAGCAACTAATATATAAGTCTTTGGATGCCTTTAAGTGACGTTATAAAGATGTATAAAAAACATGTCGTGGAAAAAATTGAGTGGCTGTTTATTTTCAGTTAGATTCATCGTGTTTCAGTTGAGTTTATTATAATGGAAAATTAGTTAAATGAATGAAATACATATTACGACAATTAACTACAGTTTCCAGCAGTTTAAGCTCTCAGTCAAATACATCAATGGTAGCAATACTAATTTACTGTTAACTATTTTTATCTCGACGATATAGTTTTCACAGCACTGAAGAAAGCATAGATTTAGTACACAAAAATCACAAAGTCAACCGACTAAATATTCTAAAGATAGTATGTTTAAACTGGAAGATCTTGATGTTACAGATTGAATGCTAAACGTGAGAGATAATCGCTGCAAGCTGAAACTACCTTGCAACCACTTATATTATAAAGCACTGAACTACCAAGATATCTATTTGTTTGTTCTATGGAAAAGCTATCCGTTGTGTCAGCCACGGAAAATCGAACTCCGTATTTTATTGTATTATTGTTTGTTTGTTTGTTTTAAATTTCGCGCAAAGCTACACGAGAGTTATCTGCGCTAGCCGTCCCTAATTTAGCAGTGTAAGACTAGAGGGAAGGCAGCTAGTCATCACCACCCACCTCGCTAAAGCACTGAGGACGGTTGTTTTGATAAACGCTGTTGTTGAAGTTCGTAAGTTAGAAAGTGGAGGCTTAGTCATAGAAAATTCTCTCAACTGAAGTAGTTGAAATGCTTCCGACAATATTTGTGGTTGGTAGTTGGAATGTTAAAGTCACCTATTCTCATTCTTTTACAAGACATATGGTGTGATCTCTTACTTCTCACCAGATATACCAGTGAGTGGACTTTAAGAGGAACTCTTTTTGTTAAGAATCAAACTGTTATTTGGACAGTTCTGTACACTATTCCCAATGTATAAACTGTGGTGGACCCCACAGTGCTGAATATGGA